CTCTCTGCCAGATTTAAAAAGGGCTGTCCATTTTTTCACAGTGGTGTACGAAGGAGTATACTCTCCTAAAACTTCATCCATGTCAGCTTTGATTTGAGATGGGGTCAACCCTTTTTTCGTCGGGTATTTTATGACCGCACGAGTCTCCGTCTTCTCCATTTTTGACAAAGCATGTGCACACTGACTATCTGCTAAGCTGTCGTGGCAAAACTTTATGACAAATCAAGCTGAAATTGGTATCGTATCTCTAGCAAAGATGGCTGAATTATTCCCGCCAAAAATTAAATTGATCGCAGCGCCGCATCTAGGAAGGCCGCGAATTTTCCGAAAGCCCTCGTAAGTCCAAGAACGACATAATAGACAACACACATTTAAGCGTAAGATTATAATAAATTATCGAAGAAACAGACCAATAGAAAAATTTCGTAGGCTATAAACGATATTTTGCTAATAGTTAGTTACTATGTAATTTCTATCGTTTTAATAAAAAAAAAAAAAAAAAAAAATGAAAATTAAGAGATAACCAGAAACAGAAAACAAATAGAAGATTCAGAGACAATGACAAGAAAGATGGAAGTTATGATGATAATGGCTCATTTCAAAAACTTTTAATTAAAAAATGTTATTTATCATTAGAAAAAAATTAAATACAGATATAACTCAATTTATACTAAAATTTGCAAGATTTTCAGTGTAAAATGAAGCAGAAATATAATGGAAACATATGTAAATATATCAGATTCCATTCCAAGATTTTCAATAATGGACACAAAACATTTAAAAAATGTTTTATGAAATTTTCTTATTGAAAATTTAACGTTTAAGAAAAAACAGAAAAGTTACTGCCTTAAAAACAGAAGAACACAACTAACTGGTTTGAGTTTCACCTTTCTCCATTTGCTGAATAATGTCCATATTTTCTTTATAAATAATTTTCGTTGTTTTATTTTTTAGTTCCTTATCCAGATATACATGATAAGATGATTTGGAGACATGAAAGTAAATACTTGAAAATAGTTATTACTAAAAATAGTGCAAGATGAACGTCAAATATATTTAAACACCTAAAAGCAGAGCAACTACAAAGGTTAAAAAAAGTGGAAAATAGGTGTAGTCATCAAGGGTGAAGTAAGATCAATCTAATTTAACCTTCTGACTCCCTACAGCCTATGGTTATAATTTGATTTTTCTCATCACATTTCATATTCCTTCATAATTTTTGTTTATATATTTAAATTTTAGACCATAGTTTAATCATTTGGTGTTATAGTTTTATTACAATGTCCAGACCATGAGTGTCAAAGAAGTTGGACTGTCAAACCTCTTCAAATCATGATCTATGAGAGATGCAAAAGTGAAGCAGACAAACTGTATACAATTACAAGGTATAGTTAGTAATTTTTCGAAACATATTTATAATATATTAAAAATGCAGCTGTTTAACAATAAATTTTTATAGCATATAATTAATATACTATATACCATAAAACATAAAATTACAAAGGCACTCAAACAAATAAAAAAATAAATAAATATTTTGGTAAATTACTTGGTGTAAGATTTTGCATGACATCAGCAAGATTAGTAACCACATCTGTATTATCTCTGTAATCAGGTAATTGATCTTCAAATCTTCCTGATCTTCCATTATACCTCATATGTCTTTGTTGTGGAGAAGGAGTTTCACGTGCAGATGAAGTACTAGAAGTGTCTGACTGTGGAGTTAAAGAATACTGTTGCAAAGGTCGAAAACATCTTTCTTGTTCAGGTGTACTTCCTTCATTTAGAACACTATCTTCATCTGAAGAAGTATCTGTCAGAAAATTAAATTGGTATTATAAATCATATTTTATATCAAAAATCAAATAAATATATTCATGTTTTCTTTAATAAACAGCTACTATTACAGCTAACTGCCATATCGATGTTAACTGTGATGTAAAATTTAAAATAAGAATAGTTCAATAAATATTTACTTCAAGTATCAATTCTATTATAAAACAAAATTCTTCAGAAATTAAAGAAAATAATAATGCTTTGAAATAGTTTATAATTTAAATCAACATTACAACTTCATATGCATAAACATGTATTTATAAATACAGCCATATTCCATTAACTAAATCTTATGTACTCTTGAATATAATTAAAATATTGAAAATTCCAATAAGTTATCAAATCATGATTTTATCATGATAATAAACACTACAAATTCCAGTTATTTCATTAAAAAATATTTAACAAGGTTATTTAAAGGTATGTTTGTAAGCAGTAATGCAATGAATAAATTTGCATAGTACTCTTTATTATGAATTGTATAAGAAATATAATTTATGTAATATGCAGTAGATAGTAAAAAAAAAATGTTGCAATAATATTGTACATTTTATATTAAAATATGAATAAAAGCAGAACAATGAAAAACAAACAAGTTAATTAATGAACTTGCTATAATGAACTGTTAAGAATAAAATTGCACTGAAAATTTTTAATAAAAATACACAACTGAATTAGAACACAGACAATTTCTATAAATTAATGACAATTTCTCTTAATTTGATAAAAAAGATTTTTCACCTTTTAATTACATTAATTCATAAAAAAATTTAATATCTAAAAAAAAATGAAAAAAGGCAGAATTACCTGAAGCATGTCTTTCACGCGAAGGAGAAGTTGCCATCACAGAAATTCGTTTGGAAGGCATTGGAAGTGATGGTTTTGGTCTATTTTGCATTGCTGCCAAAGCTTGTTGAACAGCTTCTTGACGAACTTCTGTATTTTAAAATTAAAAAAAAAAATCATTTTCAGAGTAAGGAAATCTTCATCTTTAAAAATTATATTTATTGTGATATTATAAAATTTTATTTTAAAATTTAATATCTTGGATACTTACACTCTCAAGTACGTTCAGATTAGATAATATTACTTTATGCATTTAGTCATTTGGGATGTAATAGTTTGAGATGTAAAACTTTGAAATAACATTAACAAATAAAAATTTTCTAACAAAACTATTTACATTCATTTGATATGCTTATAGTAAACATATGAAAAAAATACACAGTGGTATTTTTATACTTGAAACAACTCTAACTTTAAACATTCTAGAGTTCAAATGTCAAATTTGAGAAAAATTCAACCTGGAGTTTGAATGATACTTTTATATTCAAATTGTGCATGTAGTAAAAATCTCATTGCATAAACACCATCTGTTGTGCATCTTTCTCATGCTCACTGTGAAAGCCTCTCTTACATTTTGCTGATGTGTTTTCAGTGCTTCTTTCACTTTATTTTTTATGTATTTTGGATGTAATATATATTCTGGTGTAGTAAACACTAGTATTGTATTGTATTCCAAAGATACATGTCAAGTTTTCCATCAAATATCTTTATTAGTTGAGCTGACTCAACTAATAAAGATATTTGATGGAAAACTTGCCATGTGTCTTTAGAATACAACACAATACTAGTGTTTACTATGCCAGAATTATAAAACAGGACAGTTTCAAAAAATATATATATTTTACATATAAATCCCAAGAAGAGAGTGAAAGCAATAAAGCCTAAGAGAAAGGTTGTAGTGTTGATAATTCAGGTAAAAAAGAAGCTTAATGCAAATCATGAAATCAATACATGTATGGCAGATCTGGCAGCCATGTCTAAGATGCCAAAGTTGTAGTGTGCATCATTCTTAAGAACAAGGAAGCAATAAAAGCAAAAGATGTGGCTAAAGGTGTGACAATGTTAACCTCCATGAGATCATACATTATTGTGGAGATGGAAATCCTCCAAGTGTGAATAAATGAGAAGTTATTGGCAGCTGATGATATCTCCAAGATGATTATTTGTGAGAAAGCCAAACAGATGCATAATGACCTTAAGAAATGCAATTTTTATTTTATTATATATTATTTATTGTTTCCATGTTTTAATTTATTATATAGGGCATTTAATTATGTTATTTTTATCTTAAATCATGTATCTGTTGTTTAATTTTATCAAAATGGTATTGTTAAGGATCTGAGAACACATTAATTCACTTTCCAATATTTCTAATGTGAAAAATTCATTTGGATTTCAAACAGCCTTCTGAAATGAATTAAATTCAAAGTACGAGGCACCATTTTATATACATATTCAAATTTACATTGTTTCGAAAAAATATTAATTACAAAAATTAATATCTATAATATATAACTAAGTATTAAACAAACAATCAGTCAGATTTTTTATTGGATTTCTTAAGGATAATTAATTATTAAGTAATTTGGTTAAAGTAGGTAAGTAAGTTGCTATCTCATGTTAAATTTAATAACATAAGATATCTAAATTACAGTCAACCCCTATAACACTGTTGATTATTCCATTTTATATGAATTCCATGTTGTACCAGTCACTTAGATTTTACAAATACGTGTGCCGGGCTCAGCCCGGCTCACGTATTTGTAAAATCTAAGTGACTCGTACAACATGGAATTCATATAAAACGGAATAATCAACAGTGTTATAGGGGAGTCGACTGTACTTGGTCTGGAAGCAAAGATTGCAGAGGTTGAGGTAGCAAAACTTATAACATACCTACACGGTAAGCAGGAGATGTGAGTTCAAGTCCCACTCCAAGCCAACTTTTTCTTCAGAATATTCTAAATTAAATTTATTTCTAATTATTAAATTTAACACAAGATGACGGTTTAACCACCTATCTGATTTGACCAAATTACTTAATAATAAATTAGTCTTAAGTAGCCTAATAAAGAATATGGCTAGTCATTTGACACTAAAAATTAATTATTAAGTTGGTTTCATATGTTGTAATATATAACCATCTAGAGCTAGAATAAAATAAAATAAAAAATTAAACTTACCCTATCACCATAAACATGCAAAATAAATGAATATTTCTGAAGACACTATTTATATTCAAATTAAATACAAACATTTATATAAAAATCAAAAACAACCTGTAATTCAATAATTTTTGCTTGTTTAAATTGCATTTCTTTGATTCTAAGATACACGATAATTTGAAAATATATTTTATGATTTCTTTTTTTTTTATGAAGAGAAACAGTAAAAGTGATTATTTCAAAATAAGTTCTTTTAAGTAACAACTAGTATGTTACTTCATTAGCTTAACTATAATGGACTGAAGTTAAGCTAATAGATAAGCAGCACATTTGTATTGTTTACTTCATCAAACTGCTTAAGAGTTTGAAAGTTTGAATTACTATTTAAAGATAAATTTAAAATATTAGATATTCATTATGTCAATATAAAAAATACTGAAAATAATTTACCTGAATGATACCTGCTTTCGTTTCTTGTGAGTCTACGATGTGCTTGACGCTTGGCACGAGTGGATGGACTAGCAGCACCTATACAAAATATAACATATTTAACTATTACTTCTTATTTTATTTTATTTAACTAAATGACCCTATGACCATTGGCCTTTCTCAAGGGTAAAAAAAACTAAAGATACAGACATATATATAATATACAATCAACAAAACAATAAAAAACAGAGAAAAGAGAAACAATAATAATAATAAAATAAAAATACACACAACTAATGGCAACTCAATATTTTTACAGCCAGTTTTAATTGCCCGTAAGTACTCAAATCTTTGTATTCTTCTTTTAAAGCATTCCAGTTATATATAAGTTGATAGATTGGTGCATCTCGTCCAAAACAGTGCTTAACTCATCCAAAACTCCATATCATATATCTGAAGCATGTATTTTAACTGATATTTTTATGGAATTTGATTTATGACTATAAATCAATTTAATACATGCTATAATTTAGCATATAGTATCTTCTGAACACAAGAGTTGTAATTGCTGGCTGAATTTTTATTCTGTATCAACAAATATACTTTAGACTTAACTGCTAATCAACTACAAATTGTGCTAAACAAGTCTCTTAACCAATTTAAGATAGATATGTATTAATGTTACTGCTATAAATTATGAATTGAAGGTTATAGAGTACAACTGTCATATGTTACTTTACAACTATTGCACTCCACAAATTGAGGATAATTCTTAAGAAACCTGGTACAACACCAGGTTTCTTAAGAACAAATGTCTTATCACAGCAGCTATCTAGAAAAACCAGGTTTGGTTTTTCTACATAGCATGCAAAACTACCAGTTCTGTAATGACACCTCATCACTGATTAAGATTATTGATTATTCATTAAGTTATGATCTCCAAACCAATTAAAATCTTAAGTATTTGATGCACAATAGGCATAAATCTGTTACTTTTTAACTTTAAAATAGCTTTAAGAATATTTTTGTGCATTTCAATATGTACACATTCTTTAGGAATACCTAACAAATTAATATATTGCAAACTTATACTTAAAATTTACTATTAATTCACAAAAACCAATTCTATTCAGTAGCCAAAATCATTTTCCAATTTTTTTGCAAAATCATCATTTTGTCACTTAGGATAGTGTGTTCCAGATAGGCAGCATTGTCATTCGAAAATATGTTAAACAGGTTATTCAAGCTTTATCTGTTTGGACATAGTTATTAAATTTGTAAAATGGCATACATCACATTTAAAGTTTTACGTAACAGAAATCAGTTTTCTGTATTTGAGGTATACAGATCAAAATAAACATTCAACATAGAAGATAGCTCATATATTTTTCTCTTTCAAATGTTTTTGACATTTTATAATGTCTTCTTCAAGACAGCTTCTAAATAGAACACAAAGTACACACAAGAACAAAGAGATTTAAAATATTCAAACAAATTTGAGTATTTTAAATCTCAAATTACATTTACTTTTGAATTTTAGTTTGAAAATTACAAGGAAAAAAAATTAAATGTAGAAAATATCAAAAATAATTACGTACAACAATTTATATAATAATAGTTATAATTAGTGCCAAAATGAGTTACTTAAATTTTTGGATGAACATATGGTAATAAGCTGAATAATTATCATAAGTAATCTTTGAGTAATCTATCTAAACAAAACTAATTCTCTGAAATTATTAGTGTTGTTTGATTAACTGGTTCATGTTTTTAAGATTAATAATGTTTCCCAAATAAAGGTTAATTTTAGATCTGTGATTGATTTTAATAACTTGGTATTCCATATGGAATGGTCAAAACTATTATCCATCATCATTTTTGCCAATTCTACATTTTTTTAATTAATTGTATAGAATGTTGATATTGTGCTATGTGAAGTGCTAGGCTTCTTACTGTGGTCTCAATATATTCCATTACTATTATCTGAAGATTGAGCCAATGGAACTGTATAGACCCAGGAATGTTCTAATAATGATTTAAATGACATATCCCGAACAAGTAGTCTTTTTAATGCAATACAATCTGTTTAATGGATAAAATTTAATTGTATTTCTTAAACAGTAATGTTATTTTTAAAGAGTGTGTCAACAAAAGGTAATCCTTTTGTGTGGTTTAACAGCTAAATGTGGATATTTTTTCACTGTTTTTAAGAACATTTTTAAAATTTTGATGGCAAAGTAGCTACAATGAAAGATCAGTCATCAAAAATTGTATTCCGAAACAGTTAAAACGATTAAATAGTGACTCCTTTTTTCAACGGACTGTGTTTTCAAGTTTAACTTTAAATTTATTAATATTAATTTGTTATCTTTGATACATTTCCATATACACAGAAATGCTGTTTAGTTAAATTGTTCTCTGACTCCTGAAGACAACTGATTAGCCAAAAATATTTGCATATTTGTTATATCCATCTAATGCTTCAATTAAGCAGTTGAAATAAAGTACACAAGAAACTTTTCTTTTTTTCAGAAAATATATAAATATAGAAACAAACGTTTTTGGTCTGATTCAATTTTTCAAATATACAAAAAAAATTATTTTTCTTATATTCAGTTNAAATATACGTATTTTGGAAATGTTGAGTCGAATTAGTCTAGAATCGATTAATTTTATGAAAGAAAACCTTTCAAACAGCCGTAGTCCGTAAACTATGATTCCTACAAAATTGATTCATAAAGAACGGAACGTATCTACCGTCTTATAGGGGGATCTACTGTATTTGAAAAATTAATTTGATTTTGTAATTCGACATTCCAAAAAAGAATTTTTATTAAGAATGTTAGTGAACCTGATGTAGGACTATAAATCAGAACAAAAATGTTTGTTTCTATATTTATATATTTTCTGGAAAGAGAAAAGTTTCTTGTGTACTTTATTTCATAGAGTTCCAGTTTTAGTGTTCGTTTTATTTTAAGCAATTGATTTATGTTTATTTGAAGATGTTAATAGTAACAGTAAATTATTAATCACTATCAGTATTTATCATCTACTATTATTATTTCTATTTTAATCAATTTTTCAGACAACTAAGTCCAATTTCAAATTCTTTCTCAAACTTTCTTCAGAGCAAAAACAAAAAAATTTCATTTGACAACCACAGATAAAAAAATTTAATAAATTATTCCTCTTGATATTTCCAATGTGGTCTATAGAATGCCTGTTTAAAAAACTGTCATACAAATTAACATTACAAACATATTATTTTAGTATTATTGCAAATCTTTTTATTAAAAAAATAATTAAACTAGCGACTCCCAAAGTTAATGGCTCTTGGCCAATGAGCAAAGGCTATGGCATCTTTCAAAATGGATATTCAAAAACACAAATGTATTAAAATAGTCATTCTATTTTGGAATCATTTGAACTTAGGACAGTTATGAAGTGCTCCAAAATTTGAAATGTTCAGTTATTTAGTGTATCTATTTATTTAATTCAGTTCTTGTATTCATTTTTGTGATTTTCATTAGTTTTGAAATTGTTAGTTGTATACTGTGTCCTTATGAAGAAATTAAAGTGTTTGAACTTTGTTATCAACTGAACAATGACAACAAAGTTCAAAGACTTCCATTTCTTGGTATATATATCAATATAAAAATATAATAAATGTAAAATATTTAATGTTTTAAAAACAAATAGATCATATTTGGTATCAGTAATGCTTATATACAGCACTAAGTTATTATTATTAATTGCAAGTGAATAATAATCAATGGCAATTAAAATCATTCTTAATCTGTAATTCTTAATTTAGCAATCTATTAAATTCTGATAATATATTGCCACAATTTACTTGCTAATAAAAGGTACAATGTGTAAAGATTTAACTGTTAATTAAAATGTTTATTATTATACAAAACAAATATGAATGATAGGGTAAAAATTAAATAAATTAAAAAGCCAGAAAACATACCATAATTATTACATTTAACTTAGTTTGACATTTACTCTATATGTGCAGTTCTCAAGTAGAAAAAGCCATAAATATAAACTGACATGAAAAACTCAAATAATCAAATATTAGTAACATATTTGTGTAAATGTATATAAATATATGTTAGGTTCAAAGATCAAAAATACTCAATGAGTGAAAAAACAACCAGAGTGAATTGTAGCTTTACAAAAACAGTCATAATTAGAAACTTCACATCATGGCTGCTTATAAGCATTCACAACATGTTCTAGAATTTTGAAAAATGCCAACTGTTAAAAAAAAATGAATGCAATGCATTCCAGCATTGTCAACATACTACAATGTGTAGTTGGAATTTTTATCACACATGCAAATACAGCAATCTGCCATCTTAGCCTTTCAACAGTGGGTTAGTCAGATGTGATGCTACCACTTAGTTGTAGAGAATAAACGTGGGAAAATTTTAAAGTATTTTTCCACGTGTTTTTTCTCATTACCATTTCAAAAAAAAATTTTGTAAACAGTTATGTCTAGTAAAGAAGAGTCTTTTTTATTGTTACATAATTCATTTTTTATGTGAATATTTTTTGCGGTTGTTTTTGTCTAGTTTTTGGCAATACCCCCAAAAGAATTTAACAGATATATCCGTCCTTCACCGCTGCCACAAGATCGCCCCTGGATGGATATATCCGTCCTTCACTGTTGAGTGGTTAACCTCATTGAGGAAGTAAGCAGGGCTTTGTAAGCTGCAATAATGAGACACTGCATCAATAATTAATAAGTGCAAATGTCATTCAAAAGATAGCAGCTGCAATTTTAATGTTGTTCTAAGAGTTCCAGCAAAAATACTTGAGCTTGGACATTATTCTTAATTATTACACATATTTAGTCAAATTGTCTGAACTCTCTATTTGCTACTATTGCATAAACAGGAAACAACTATGACACATTGAGGTATGCTGATGCTGCTGGAACACAATGTGGTCACATGTTTTTAGATTAAAGCCAAATAATTGCTGGATTATATCAGGATCTGTTAATGCTACTATTAATGTTTAAACATTAAATAATTTGACCTAATTTAGTATGTGGGAGTTATGGGTTAGAGCAGTGTTTCTCAACAGGG